TATTTTTTGTTCTTTTTATAAGGAGCATGTAACTAGTTAGATTGACTGTACACATGGGTCGACGTTTTTATTGTGAGATTTCTCCGAGTATGTTGTAGAGAAGGTCATTTGACTTCAGAAATTCACATTTTAGCGCAAATTCTTTTGTTTAAAGGAGCATTATGTAAGAATCTGGCCAAAAGTGGTACTGCAACCTCTCCCTCTCTCCGTGACTCCTGACCATACTGTAAAAGCTGAATATACAAGAGTTTTGCCCTCAACACATCCATAACCAACACCTTTTTTACAAAGATAAAAAATAATAATCCGAAAATCATAACGAGATCTTTTTTAGTACTGACATATTACTCAACTAGTGAGATCAGCTCGACGCAGTGAGTTCTGGCAACCCAGATCACGGACTTTCTGATTGGTAAAACTCTGGAGAGCGGGACATCGAAAAGAAAACAATAACAAGATTTAGCGGCTGTAAAAACAAATTTTGAAATCCAGATATCTTGGCTGAACTACTGTTAAAGAAGTATTCGAAAAGAGCATGGTTTAATAGTGCCTTTTGACATGAAAATCTTACATATTGCTACTTTAAAAGACACAGCTCTATGACATCACAGTCTAATCAATTACAGTCACATACAAAGTTTGATTTCAGACATGTTTGGGCCAGAAGATCCTGACATTACTGTTTTCTAAGAAGCCAATCCACCTCCATGCTTCTGATGGTGGAAAGTTCATTTTGCATACGTCTCCTTTTTCCTGCCGTCTTTGTGGCTCGTTCCATTTCGAAGCCAAAGCAGCGCGAACAGAGTGCTTTCATTTGCCGCTCTCTAAAACTAATGTCATAAATAATAGAAGAATGATTGCAGGTTATTAAGACATTTAGTCCTTAATCCCACCTGTTCATCAGAATAACACTGCATAAATGACAATAATGAGACAAAATGTACCAGCGCTAACATGTTTATTGCATCCACTTGACAATTCACAAGAACAATATGAGCAAGTGACAGGGTTGGATTGACAGGCCTTAAACTGCACATTGTTTGATCCATCAAGTGCATCATGGGATAGGGCTGTAATTAAAGATTATTTTGATAACGACGATCATTGTTTTGATTTATCGATGTGTTGTTTGGATTCAGAAAGGTCAGTGAATATGGGATTTTTGTAAACGGGAAGAACCGCCCTCTCCACTTATTGAACAAAACTCTCTAGTTCTATTTGACGAACACGTATCACCAGAATGATTGACATATGGGAGGACCAATAGTCTTGGAGATCCACCCGGAGGTAAAAAAATCCTCCTATATACTTTTAAGTAAAGTCCCTGGGGATATTATATATCTAATCCTGAAGAGTTGAGTTTGTTCATTTTTGTTTAAAAATAAATATACGCTATATTCAGCTGCTTTCCATTGCACACATTTGCAAAACTTGTTTGATTTTGTAAAGATCTCTCTGGAACTTTGGAAGCAAATGAATTCATAATGAATTCATTTATGAATATTAGTATCTTGGCTTCAGCGGTGGCTCTCATCATCTTCTTGTGAATGCAATGGAGCAATCTCTGTGCACTTGAGAGAGGATGAGAAGCTTTTGGGAAGTTGTGGTCCAGGATTTCACAGAGAAACTCTGGATCCAAAACTTCTGAATGACGCGCACCACATTTGAGGAGTTATGCAGTGGGACCTCTCGTGGCACCCACTACACACTGCCCAAGAGATAAGCGCGTTGCCATCCTATCTATAAGCTGCTACATGTGGACAGGGCAGAGAGACATTTGGAGTGAGGAAGACCACAGTCCATCGGTGCGTTTATGGGGTGTGTGTGGCTTTCACAAAACAAATAAAAATATGTCATTAGTTTCATCAATGAGGGCCATTGTCTCCACTTCTTTGACCATCGCCAAAAACTAACTTCAAACTATCGCCACTGCACCCTCTTCGTCCGCCATGATGATTTATTCTGAAGTCACACTTACTCTCAAGAGTTTTTGCGAGATTTCCCGTCTGACCTGGGAATGGAGTGAAATCGGTTTGTGTGTGGTTTGTGTGATTTTGCCTTGTGGCTGCACACCAACATGGATCTATAATAATATCTGGATAGGGTATTACTAGCTTACAGCTGTCCCACCCATGGGCACAGGGGCCGCCCGTGGTACTGCAAACTAAATTCACAAGGGCTACCCAAAAAAAAGTCCCATAGAACTCAATGTAAACTAAATCAGCTCGACCTCAGCTGAAAGAGAACCTACAGCTTTCATAAAGATCGGATTTTTGGGGGGATTTTAGTGTCCCTTGTCATCCGAAACTTTTGTTCTTCTTAAATCCTTCGGTTGTCTTTAAATCTACACTTTACTGCCACAAACTCTGCTCGTTTCCTTCCCGTTCTGGCTCCGCTCTGCTACTGCTCTGACCAATCAGACCAAGATTGGTCAAAGAGCGGCCGAGCCCCACTGTGCGTGTGCATGAAAGCCACACACATGTATCTGGCACAAAGCATCATGGGAGCTCGTCCACTGCGCAGAACCGGGAGGGCCAGACGATGCCCAAATATAGGCGAGTCCCGCTAATCTTTCAGTCCCTGTGAAGTCCCATGCGTTACTGAGCACAAGCCATTCATCTGAATAGGGCGCCATCTTGGATCACCGGGGCTTGCGCACTACACACTGTACGACCAAAGTGGTTAGACCCTTGATTTTTTATCTCCGTGTGTGGGGTCTCTCAGGTTTGGAAAATCGTCCGACATTTTTAAAATCGTCTTGTGTGAACCAGGCTTAAAGTAACATGTGGCCGCAGAACTAAAAAAGGTCTCGTTAGGATTCTCACATCATTAATGATAGAACATGGATTTCTATCAAGGGCTTTGTGATAAAAAGCGAGGACGCGTACTGTCCAAGTGGTTCAATGGACTCACTTCTCCACAAATGAATCTTAACTATCCCCAAGAACCAAAATTATATTCAGTTGGAATATTCAAGACTTTTTTTATAGCGTCCATTACCAGCACTAAGTCACAACTAAGGGAACTGACATTTCTCACTTTTTACTTTTGAACCTCAAAACAACACATTTCCAAGGTTTGCACTGTTCGACTGGGCTCAGAATTGCTTTTGCTTTAACAATACTGTTTTAATAACTCTACTCAGGTGTTGAGGCATCACTGAGGTTTCTTTGTTGGTTTCTCAGTGAATCGGACACAAAGTAATGATCAGATTTTTATTACATGTTTGGGAAAGGTCAATACAACTGGCTTAAGGAGAAATGATTAGTTTGCAGTGTGAGTCTTAGGGGGGAAGTGTGATTTAACTCTTAGAAATAAAACAATTGTATTTCTGCTTCCTTATTCCAACGTACTACGTAAGAACCATTCAGTAACTGTCACTATGGGCCTCCAAACAGAACGCGGCAACAAAAGTATTCCAAGTATTGTACTTAAAGGAACTGTGTATACTTTGCAATCTTCTGTGACTACAAGTACAATATGTTACCAGTTTGTGTATAGACTATAGACAGAGTTTATTTGTTTCCGTAAGTTTCCATAGTCTACAAAGCATAAACAAAGCATCACAAAATGACTGAAATAGTTTGGGCTGAAGTGAAACATTTATTATCTATTTATCTATCTATCAATTCATTTAAATATAAACATTTGCAGAGATGTTTGAGATACAGTAAACATGTATCTCGAACGAATTAACTAAATATGTTTTAACTTGGCTATAAGATGTTCTTGAGTGCGATGCTTTTAGATTTGTTTTGGTCAAATCTATTTCAAAATCCCACATATGTTTTTACTTTTGTCACACGTTTCACTAAGTTCTGCTCACATACGTACCGCAAAGGAAAACACTGTCTGAGGGATAATCTATTTGACTATGTTTTACTAATTATTTTTATTTTATTACATGGCTCCTCACAGCAGCAGGAGAACGCTCCATTGATTTGAATGTAATTTCAAAACGTTCTACCGGTCATTATTTCTTGATACCTGACCTCTCAAAACAATAATGACCGCTGCCCATGGCAACGCACCCTCTGCTTGTAATTCAGATGTGTAGATTACTCTGCAAGTAGTTCCGGCCACTCCGGAGCTAATCACGCTCAATAAACGCAAATACCATTCAATCAACACATTTAAATGTTAATGGAAGAATACACTAGACCTAGGCATTCTTATTACACATGCACGGAGGATTTCAGAAGTATCTTTTAAGGTTCATAAAAAAAATACTGTTTTAATGCGAGAAAAAGAGATCGCGAAAAACCCAGATGTAGATTCTAGGATATTTTTTGACACATTTGCAGAGGATCGAATTATGGATATAGGTTTAGTTTATGTATGGGTCACTCACCGCTGATCTTCATAATTCTTTGTTCAGTTTTTTTGTAGTTCAAGAGAGTTCTAGTTTGGGAGTTGCTAGCCTAGCTGTTACTTGCATAGCCACGGGAAAGCCTTTGGCCTTTATTTTCTGTACATAAAAGTGGACTGAAGTTTATTTTGTGTGTTCTGTTGGTACAAAGCCGAGTCGGGGTCCGCTTCGCCCTGTCGGTACTTATTTTCCGATAATGACCTGCGTAATATACATTATCCCTTACTTATTCAGGCAGTGGCGCAGATAAGTACAAGGTATACAATAACACAGTGCAAAAAAGATAATGACAGAAAATTAATGTACGGCGTATATTGCAATTCTAACCCTAACCCTATGAAAGATAATGTTATTTGGTTCTTCTATTCTAGACAATTGTAAGTTGGCGATTTTATTACCATAAGAACAACCAAATAACTTTAAGAAGATGGACCTTGATGATGGACCTTCCTAAACTATAAAGATTTGGGGTTTTTTTGGGTAATTTTTTCCCACAGAAATATCACAGTTTAGTGTTGTGACAATTGTACTTTTGTCCACAACATGCTCTTGACTTGTGGTTAAAGCTTTGACAGAGTTTTGTAGATTTCTGTGAATAATCTTTCCTCTTTTCCCATTTTCTCGTCTCCAGACTCCAATGGACTGACGGGAAGCAGCCATCTGTTGAACATCACGCTGACCATGCACCGGCTCCTCATGTCTCCCAATGACCTTCTGGACAAACTCATCTCTCTATATCCTTTTTAATAAAACCCACAAACGCCGCTTGCGATTTTGAATAACGTGGCTAATTCTGTGCAGTGTGACATCAGATTTCTGCTGTTACTTTGTGCCTGCGCTTTTCTTCTGGTTGTCAACAGCAACGGGCAATCAGGCTTGTTCTTGGCTTTCACAATGCATCTGTCTGAAGCTGTCACTGCAGAATGCGGAGGAAAAATGCCACTTTGTCGTTAGAGCTTTAGACCTTTTTTATATTTTACTGAATTTGAGAGCAATTTTGAAGTTTGGAGGAGGGGCGGTGTGATGAGTTGATTTTAACTGTATAAAAGGACTGTTACATGCAACAAAACGTTATTTAAAAGTTGATATAGAGGCAAATGAGTGGAGTTCACAGGCATTTTTGCAAAATGTGTTTTTCTGATTAGATTTAAGGGTTAGGTTCCTTACTTTCTAACCTAAAATAATGCATAATCAATGCAAAAAAAAATTGTTTGGTCTTTTATATTGCACTGTATGGCATTTATTCTCCCCCTCTATGTTTCATTCAAAATATACATTGTTTTCGATTGAGGTAATGTTGTTTTTTTACAGTATTGTACATTTCTCCACAGTGAGATCAATAAAGTGTATTTTATATTATTAGTTTTAAAATAAAAAAAGTTAGGCTTCCAAGCGAACTTTTATTTATCACACAGTGGGGATATATACTGGGCGGCACGGTGGCTGAGTGGTTAGCATGCACTCTCGCTTTTCAGCAAGGAAGTCCTGGGTTCGAATCCCAGTCGGAACAGGGCCTTTCTGAGTGGAGTTTGCATGTTCTCCCCGTGTTTGTGTAGGTTTCCTTCGGGTGCTCCGGATTCTCGTACCACCGGGGCGACAGTAGCTCAGTTGGCAGCATTGGCCTTTGAGCCAGAAGGTCGAGGGTTCGAGCCCACCTCAAAACTTTCTCCACCGACTTCCACTGATGTCTGCTGTCGTTGTGTCCTTGGCAAGACACTTAACCTCTGGGAACACCAGCCACAGTGGGGCGGCTGCGGCTGTAAAGTGCCAAACTGCTGTTGTGTCCTTAGGCAAGACACTTCACTCCCATTGCCTAGAATGAGTCTGGTGTGTGTGTGAATGGTTGGTGGTGGTCGGATGGGCCGATGGCACATACTGGTTGCCTTGCTTCTGTCAGTGCGCCCCAGGGCAGCTGTGGCTACAGTAGTAGTTTATCACCACTGTGTATGGAGTGAATGATTAATGACATGTAAAGTGTCTTTGAGTGTCCAAAAAAGCGCTATATAAAACTGATGCATTATTATTATTAATATTACCACTAAAAACATGTACAATAAGTCTGGCATGCACCTCACTCCAATCTGTGCGTGGAGTGGGAGACAATACCCACAATTGTAAAGTGCTTTGTGATTGGTCTGTGAAAAGAGCTATATAAATAAATGTTACTTTCTTACTGACTTATATACAACGCCCAGTTAGTGCAATAAGGCAGAATAATAAAAACAAATAAGATGAAGTGACATTCAGTGGACATTCTGAAATTGCAGTATTGCACATGTTGCAATATTTACTATTTTCATATGAGCCATGAGTCTCAGCCGTTCTCATTGCACAGTCTGACAGCAGTTATTCTTCTGATTAGTCAAAGCTTTATCCGTGTCAGATCAGATAAGGGCCTGTGTTCCCTGCGTCTAAAGCCTCCCTACATACTGAACATAGAGGAACACTGGTTTGTTGTCTGTGGCACTTGCAATATTCCAGAAGTCATTGTTTGGCTTTTTCAAAAGTGTTTAAAGTCATGTTGAATTTCACTAAAAGTTGAATTTCACTTTCTTGAGGGAACACCGCAGACCTGTGTGGATGCAACAGATGTTATTTGCCCACACACTGACGATTGACGAATGTTGTGCGAGATATTATTAAGTCTGTTCTGTACATGTGTGGACACGGATGGATTTACACTTTTACTACCGACTCGTATGAAAGATTTATGATGACAAAACCAGCTTCCCCTTCGAGATCTACTTCTGTATTAATAATTTGGGCAGTGGTAGAATTTAACATTTGTCCTTTGTGATTAATGAAAAGACATTAAACTGCAAACAGGGATGAAAATAAGTCAAAAATTGCTTAAATGTGGCAAAATATATCTGAAGAATTAAGACTAAATGGCTTTGTCCCATTGGCAAATCTTGTTTTAAGACAAGTCAGAATCTACATAAAATAAGATAAAAAACACTTGATTCAAGAAATTATTACCTCATATTTTTTATTTTTTGCAGTGGCATAAAACTAGCATAAACAGGACAAAAGTTGACGTTTCTTGAGCATTTTTAATGCATAAACTATAAACTTTGTCAGAATGCTTTAGTCAGTGTCCCAAATTAGCATTTATAAATAATTGTTGCGGTGTTGAAATTAATTTTTTCTAGTGTCAAAATGGATTCACTTGTTTGGGAGGTAGATTGGCTCCCACATGTCCTTGACTCAGGGCAGGGTCACACACGGCTCAGGAGTAGGAAAATAAGATAAGATCAACTTTACTGATCTCACAATGGAGAAATGTACACGTTAAAAATATAGTCTCTTTTGTGCAAGATATATTATGTACAATACAGACATTAAAAGTGACTATAGTTTTTTCAGTGGAGGTCATCAAAGTGACTCATTGTACAGTCTGACAGTGGTGAGGATGAAGGCCCTGCGGTAGCTCCTCAGCTCCTCTACAGGGAGCAGGGACCTCCCACCCCCTGCACAGGACCTGGGTGGGAGGTGTTGTCCATGATGGAGGTGACTTTGACTCGCACCCTCCTGTCCCTCTTGTGCCTCACACCAAGAATGTTGCAGGTTCAAAGCTCATCCTGGCCTTTTTTTGTGGAGTTCGCATTTCTCTTCCTGTGTGCAGTTTTTATTCCAAGGAGTTCACTTGAGTGTCCAAAAAAGCACTATATAAAACCAATGCATTATTATTATTTTTATGATCTTATATTTGACTGGCTCAATAAAACAATACATTTTTTTCAATACTTTTTATTGTATTATTGTAGTCTTATAAGGAGTAGATTAGTATTGCTTCACCCAAACCTCTTTCAAGCCTTGTATGTATTTGTGTCTGTGTTTTTGTTGTGTGCAGGCTCTAATCCAAATAAGTTTTGCCTAGCTCAAAAATATATTTTTGTATCACTTTTTGCATTGTACCTTCCCTAATTCATACAAGAACGACGTTTACACACAAAGAGGCCAATGGCGTCACATCGAGATTACACAAAGCGTCCAGAGAGCAGCTTTCCCCTTCTAGCCGTTAATTACCTCTGCTTCCAAAAGGGTCCACTCCATCTAAATATACACACACACACCAAGAGAGGAGCCATCTGATTCTGAAAACACACGTCTCTTTGCTATTTCCATCCCTCCCATTCAGGCCTCAACGTGTATGTGTGCTAAACGCAGGAGTGGGGGTAGGAGTGGGCTCGAGTTAGGATCACAGGGGCCATTAACAGCCTTCTCCGCCGTCTGGCCTTGGGATCGCGTGGGCTGGTTCTTCTGCTCCCATGACGCAATTAGTGTTTTTCTGGGCACCACTCGAAGCTGATTTCTAACCAATCCACCGCGGTGTTATTTGTAAAGGCCATTGTCCTGCTGCACACATTAGCATATTGTTCGTTTACGGCTGAAACAATACCTAGTTAGCATAAATGTTATCTGTGCATGCCTACTTTCGATATGTTTCTTTTTTGTTATTCCAGCTTTAGGCCAGTATGATTCAGAAAGTGATGCTTGGCTTTTTTCCCTTCGCCCACATCAACAAATGTCACTCCTGCTTGCCTTTTGGTGCAGTTGAAGTCACTTTTATTAATGAGGGACTTGTAAGAATATGAGAGAAAATTGGGGACCACCATATGTGATAGATTACTCATGAAACACCTTTACGAACGGTTTTAGAGATCAGGAAAAGCGGTCCAAGGTAGTGTGCACATCCATCCATGCTAGGGCCTAGAAAAACACAAACCACATATCATCAAATTTACATCCAGTATGTTATACTTAATCTTAAAGCTCTGAATCTATAAGTTCACTCATTTTATTACAATCTCCATATTAGTGAGGAGCTAGTGAGAGAATATGCAATCATCATTCCTCATGTTCATGTCATACCTTGCATGGTGGCTCACATCAAGAAGCTTCTGGGTTCAATTCCAACTCCAGGGCCTTTCTTTGCCGAGTTTGCATGTTCTCTGCGTAGGTTTCTTCCGGGTGCTCTGGGTTTACCACTAAACACATGTACAATAGGCCCAGTATGCGCCTCCTGTTTGACGACTCCACTTCCATCATTGTGTGGAGTGAGAGACGAACAGTTGTAACATGCTTTGTGACTCTGTCCATGAAAGGCGCTACATAAACAAACTTACTGCTAACCCTGAATCCAGCTGATCTTATACCCCTGTACTGGCTTTGAAAGATTATTTTTTTAATTTTAATGTTGTTTTACATTTAAGTTACATTACTAATGTATTAGTTTGAACATATAAATTAACTCCAGAGTATTGAACAATTCTTCATTAAACATATGACAAACATATTTTTCAAGGAAGTGGCTGATAAATTGGTAATAATCAGAGAAATAACCCCAACAATTTTTTCAAAAAAATTTCATTTGGCTGTTGATGCACTTAAAAAAAACAACAACACACACACACACACACACACACACACACACACACACACACACACATAACCTAAATACTGTATATATTGTTTATATTGTTATAAAAACAAAAACATTTTTTATTTTTATTTTTGATAACCTTTTATTAAAACAAGAAAATGATTTATTTTCAAAACCACCCAGATCACTTTATGCTGCTAGATTATGACAAATGACATACTGCTATTTTAAAAACATACTCGACTTGGATAAATTACTTTAAAAATTCAAATCAAGTCGAGTATTAGTATCACTGCACATTTCCATTCGCATTTGTCTCGTCCAAACCAGAACCTTCCACCGTGTAGAAGGTCGCACAGATGTCTCAGCTGTGGCCTTGGGCTTTGTGTGTCTCTGCCTCAAACCAAACATGCAGCTCTTCTTCTCTGCTCCTCGTTAGAAATCTAAATCCTCTAAAACAGACACTCGCTGTTTGCATCTTGTAAGAGGGACGTTTTGAAGACGACATTTCCGAATAAAGGTTTTTTCATCTTACCTTAAAACTTCACAAGATATGAGATTATGAATTACCATGGCAACAGTACCATAATTCATCATCAGTATTGTATGTGGTATGTGTAGATTATGGAATGCACAAGATTACTCTTTTGCCAAATACTTCAACAGCTTAAAATGTATTTTTCTATTCAGCAGGATGAGTGATTGATCTATAAGCAAACTCAGCATTAAAAAACATGTATAAGGAGTACAAATGATAAATATTGACACAAAACGAGTGGCCTTGTCTGTCGCACTGTTTTGTATTTGGCTCTTGTCAGACATAACCAAACCAGTGTAGAAAAGATCATGTTTCCTTCCTTAATCTTCCCTTCACCTTTAAAACGGCCGTGGACAATGAAGAACCAGCAGAGTGCAAGAAGATCTGCTTCCTCATCAGGTCAGATTAATGAAATCCCCCATTTGACCAAGATGCAATTATGTTAGTCCTTACAAACCACAAAACATACACAGATGCTGCAGTTATTGTAGATTAGAATAGTTCACTACTGGGGGGTATGGGAGGAAGTGAAAAACATGTGATTATTTTAAAACAAGAAATGCTGTAAATAGCATGTAGTTATCCTACAGAAATATTTGGAGCATAATACACAATATCATTAAAACCAGATCATAACAATAAGATCTGTCCATATTTATTTGATTAGGACAAAACAGAGACAGACCCGATGTAGTACTTTTATTGTTATGGCAAAATTCAATTCAATATATTTTTGTATATAAATCAAATTTAAATCACAATAGCAGTGGTCTTCAAGGACTTTACAAAGTTATGGATTCACCAACGACAGGTCAGAGAATCGAACAGTTCAAACACACAGAATCCATGTGTCCAAAGCGAGCGGAATGACCAACGTCTATAAATGTACATAAATATCTGGGATCATCACTGTACTTAGACCCTCCTTCCATCGACAAGGAACGAGAAACATTAAGGAGGTTCATAATGAGAGGCTGTAGATCCAGGAGTCAGGCTGTAGAACGAGGACTGAGGCAATGTGGTGCAGGACTGAAGAGGCTCCCAGAAGCAGAGGGGGAAGGGGGGCGCCTTAGACCATTCAAATATGATCAAATGTTCAGGGCCAGGATATCTAGTCACAGTTTCAGACTCTGGTGAAGATATTTAGGTCAGTTTGCAGTTTTAAGTCAGTGGGAAGAGCGTTCCACTAGTCTGGCTCCATTAGGGGAAAAGAAGGACTGTTCAAAAGATGTTTATTTGCCTCATCAAACTTTCTTATATGAAATTGGATTCTTAGTTTGTCACTTTATATATTCACCTGATCTCAAATATTATTGTTGCTGAATTTGTAGAGTTGAACATTACACACATAACAGCAATAGCACTAATAACGATCACATACAAATTTGATATTTAGCCCAAACCATTCTGCCTGTATCCCTTATATTTCTCACTGACGGTCTCTCTCTGGACTTGCAGATATTGGATCCAGGAGTTCTGGATGATGTTCCGCCTCCACCCCAGCCTGACCGACAGCTTGGACCAGTTTCGGGAGCTGATCCGCGAGCAGGGCCAGGAAAGTCTCTGCTCGCTTCTCGAGACCAAATGGATGTAAGTGCTACAGTCTGACCAGATGGAGCTCGAGGCCTCGCAGCAACACACATCGAAGCTACAGTCACTGAACAAGACTCAAATCAAAGGTTTTGGTCATTTTGGAGGTGTTTGAGTTCAAGTTCAATGATTAGTGTCAGCGAATGCATTGATTGTAGCTGAATCTATGGTGTGATTTTAGGTGGTTTGTAATTAAACAAAAGCATCCATAACAATACATGAACAGCTTGCACTTTAAAAACAAAATACACCTGTTTTTGTTTTTTTTGTTATCATAATCTAGTTGGTAGTTATGGGTCTGTCCAATGTTTCGGTTCAAACTATCTATAAATGGTTGTGTTTTTAACCAATCTATATTGATTATTGCAATCAAATTGTTCTGACCAAAATCTATTTCGCGGGCAAAAATCTAGTTTGTTGACCACCACCAATCATTCTTACCGACGGCAGATTCATATTAGCTATTGGTGAAAAGTCTTGCCCCACGACTACAACGACAATTTGGCACATGACATTCGTTGCCGTCCCTCTGTTACTCTTGGTATAAGGTCTCTCATCACAGTGCTAACCAGGTCGTGACCAGCTTAGCTTCTGATGTCTGACAGGATCTGGGTTTTACATGCAGGTGGACTACGCAGGGACTACAGTATAGTTGTTTTTTCAACTGCATCATCCTCAACTAAATGTTTTCATCTACTTTGGTATTGCACCGATACACTGTAGTGGTCACTCCATGCAATATCGCTTTAGCAACGCTTCAATTCACTGGGTCAGAGCCAACGTATTGGTAAATCTCTGAACAACATATTCCAACATATTGGTTATCTCACCAATGTTGACTTAACTGATTAGATTATTTTGTTTTGATTTTAGTTTACCCAACAAATGTGTTTTTAGACATTGCATATGTAAAAAATACAGTATGTCCACAACCACAAGATAAGTCCCTGTTGTTTGTATGTTTTTTATTATTGTGAAGCTTTGTGACCCTCGTCTGTGAAAACCCCCAGATAATAAATGTTACTTTCTATTTTTTTCATGTTCTTTGCTCCATTGAAGTCGTTGCATTTACCTATTTTTATGGTTTTATTGACTAGAAATGAGAGGGATTGGTCGTGGAAGGCAAGCACAAAAATCAAAGCCAACAGCAGTAAAAAGAGGAAGGTGTCGCTGCTCTTCGATCACCTGGAGCCTGACGAGTTGGCCGAGCACCTCACCTACCTGGAGTTTAAATCCTTTTGCAGAATATCGGTGAGTTCACCCACATTGGCTTCAGCTGTAGAAATGAGCGCCTCTTACCCTTTCATGGTTTCCTGGATCACTATTTGAGTCAATCTACTTAAGCTTGGAATTGAAATCTACCTGTTTAGGGCATCTCTATCTCTTGGTTTTAGGCACTTTTTCCTCAACCATTATATGAACTATTTGTTAAAGGAGCATATTAATCAACTAAATATACCAACAACTAAAAACTACATCCTAGAAAATCAAAAACAGAAAAATGTACAGTACATTCAATTTTTTCAAGAAGTGAACATTATAGGGCAGGCTTAAAACTCCTCTGTCTGGTTCCTGTGCAGTTTATGGACTACCAGAGCTACATCCGGAAGTGCTGCCTGAAGGAGATCCCCGTGATGGAGCGCTCCATCGCTCTGTGTAACGGAGTGTCCCAGTGGGTGCAGCTGATGGTGCTGAGCCGGCCCACGGCACAGCTGCGCGCCGAGGTCTTCACCAAGTTCATCCACGTGGCTCAGGTAAATGCAAGTCAGCTCACAGCGGGTCTGAAGGCTTCACCAGCAATGCCAATAATGTCAATGTACCGTACTTTCTGGACTAAAAAACGCTCCTGTATTTAAGCCTCATTAGCTAGATTTGAAGAAAATGAAGATTCTGTCCACATTCTGTCTGAATAAAAGCTTAAGGTTCTTGTGTTGTAATGGAACAGATAGACGACTCTTTTAACTGTTCACAGCATGATTTTATGAAAAGGTGTTTATCAGCTTAGCCGTTAGCTTCCACATTCACCATGGGTCCATCTTGACAATAAATAAGTGTCCTATAGTTAGTAAAACTTGACGGACTCTACCACAACATAAATACACATATAAGCTGCATCACTTTATAAGCCACAGGGTTACGAGAAAAAGTAATGAGCAGCAGCTTATAGTCCTGTGTTTGTTTGGGACCAAGAGGCTGCACGTCAGGGATATGCTATTCAACTCAATGTTTAGATAAATATGAATATTTTTATATTTTCATATGAGAAACAATATATATATACATGTATATATATATATATATATATACATGTGCAGTGCTAGGAACAGCAAAGATACTGCGCAGAACCCTCAAGCTCCCAGGCCTCTGGTAGAGGACCCGAGCTTAGAGAGGGATAACCGCCCGCGGAGGGCCAAAGGTGAGAAAAGTATATATTAGTATATATATATATATGTAACTTTGATCTTAACTTTGATTTTAGTTGACCCGTCGATCACTTAGCAAAAAGATCTGAAAACGTCTTATATTCTTCTAAGAATTTCTATACTGAGAATCCTTTAATAAGACATACTTTACTTAGAAATTCTTTACAAAGCCGAGTCAGAAAATGAAATTGGAAATATTCTATAAGAGCAGCACAGCTCTCTCTCTCTCTCTCTCTCTCTCTCTCTCTCTCTCTCTCTCTCTCTCTCTCTCTCTCTCTCTCTCTCTCTCTCTCTCTCTCTCTCTCTCTCTCTCTCTCTCTCTCTGTTTGACTGTGTTCTGGCACTTTTCCAATTAAAGATTATACATACAAGGTCTATACTTCTCATGGAGCTATAACCATTTTTAACATTGTGCCTCATCAAACACAGACCCGGAGTTGTAAATAATATCATGATCTGCTGGCACAAACATGTACATCTCTTTTCTCAGTCTTGTAAGTAGAATGATGCCATTGTCCCACTATGACATAATTCTCAGTTTTTTCTATTGTCCATACATTCGTTTTCACAATTTACGGGCAATTCTGAAATGTGGTATGACCTACAGTGTTTGCAGCTGGTAATTTTCAATTTCAGCCCCTTCCGTCTTTTTTCTTTTCACCCTTCTCACTTGTTTCACCATCTTTTTTCTTCTGAAGTTATGACTTCACATTCTAACACAGTAAATAGTCTCACTATCATCTTTAAAAACCAAACATAAAGCTTTTGTGTTTTACTTACACATGATCTGATACGGTGAGTTCTTGAAGTGCCAAAACACCTGGTGTGCAGTAATTGCGATGCAGCGTTAGCAAGCGGCTTGAGCAGAGCTTGTTCAATGTTTTTACACTTGCAGCTGTGTGTGTGTGTGTGTGTGTGTGTGCGTGCATGTTTGTGTGTGTTTGTGTGTGTGCATAATGTATGTGTGTATTGGTCACTTGCATTGTGGGAGACCTGAGCACTGCACTGCTGTCAACCCAAAACCCCAGGGAGTAAACTTCACACGGTGCGGCTCTAGAAGAAGCAGTCTTTACGGAGCTGAGTAGATCCACAAATCTTCCTCTAAACACAATGATCGGTCTGTTGTTTGTTGACACTGCAAATTTAGAGTTCTGATTTTACAGATGCAGGTATAGATGTCCACGTCAACAGTCCCTTGTTTTTTTTATTTATAGTTTTAAAATCAATCTATTCACAATTTTGTTCAAACACGGCAAGTTTGTTGGTATGGTATGTACTTTATTTGAACAGGGACACTGTACAATTAAACATTAACTCAAAGGAGAGATGCATGTACCAGGTTATAGCAAAGCTAATTTCCACCTGTAGTCCCTGGGCAGGCTGGTGTTATATTCATTTAAACTGATTACAATGTAGATGGATACATGACTGTGTCTTACATTTACAGGCTTTAAATAACATCATTCACAAAACATTAAGTTTAATACCAAACTGTTGTTGTTTTAGTAAGAGAGAAAATGAGATTAATGGTCGATTGAGTTTATTTTTTTGGGTTAATAAATAATTGAATTAAGACATTTTTTAATGTAAATAATCGTATGTAAATATTACGTAACATGCAATTTGTCACTGCCTTGCTAGATGCTACAAAAAAGGATAATAATAACTATAAAAAATAATTGATCATCATAAAAAAAGAATCATAACACAAAAAATATTGCAAATACATGACATTTAAAAAATAAATTATTAAAAAATAAAATAGGCAAATGATAAATAATATAGATAAATAAATAGATAGATCAATAGATGCATAAATAAATATAAAGATCAATAAACATTTGCATTGTGAATTGGCCAGATTTTGTCAGGAGATGACCAGAATTTACAATTAAAGTGCACAGTAAGAAAAAGGCAACAATCTAAGTGTCTTATGTAAGCGCTGTGTTGTGGAGATTGCATAAGCGGGGTTACCTGGCAGAGGCCTAATTGTGCGTGCTGTGAGCGGGCACTGACTGATGGCTCCACCGTGTGTTTTTCCGTCCACCAGAGTCTCCATGTCATGCACAACTTCAACACACTAATGGCTGTGGTGGGAGGCCTGTGCCACAGCTCCATCTCCAGACTGAAGGACACCACCTCTCACGTCCCCAGTGAAGTCACCAAGGTACTCATCTCACAGAGCAAAGAGACAGTGTGTGTAAAGCGGGCTACAGACTACAGGTTTTTCAGCCTGATTTCAACCCTTCAATTTAATTCAAACAACACAGATCAGAAAATCCAACAGCTAAAACAGAAGAAATAAATGTTGTAAATGTTCTTGAATGTCGAGTGTCCTGAATCATCACCACTGTCCTTAGACCCTCCTGCATCATCAAGGAAAAACTCTAAAAATTCTCTTTACAAAGTTTCGCCTACCCTGCCTTAGCAACGCGGATATCACCGAGTACGATCCCACATAATATGCCGCTTGGTGAAGTTTTCTCCCCTTGTCATTATTTTTACCACTGAAAAAAGACCCCATGTACAGGTGTAATAAAACTGCCGCTGTTCATTGGCCGCATCCAAATTGTTTTTATAACCTCCTTCCCTATCCTTCCTTTTTCTAAACCAGGGGTCTCCAACCTTTTTCAATCGGAGAGCTACTTTTATGCAAAAGAAGAGGCAGAGAGTTACTACTTTTTGCAATCATACTAAAAATCTGTCTAATAATTACAACAAAAATACAGTATACCATCCATCCATCCATCTATCCATTTTCTACCCCTTAATCCATTTCTGGGTCGGGGGGGTGGCCAGAGATGTCACCCAGTGCACTTAGCGCCAGCCCCTCACTGATCCTCCTGCAGGTGGTGAGTCCACAGGAAGATGGCCGCTCTATGGCATAGCCTTGGTCTTTCAGCGGGGGCTTCAGGCAAAGTGGGGTTTCTTTCCCAAAGTGTCTTGCCCAAGGACACAACAACAGCAGTCATGGGAGTCGGTGGGGAAGGTCTCATGGTGGGCTCGAACCCACGACCTTCAGGCTCAAAGGCCAATGCTCTACCAACTGAGCCACTGCCACAAAAATATACCATATGTGTAAAATATACCACAATATTGTATAATCTTATATTTACACTAGGCTCAAAATGTATTCATTCATTTATTAAATTCTAAATCCGAGCTATCTGAAAGGGGCTGGCGTAGCCACAGGAGCCACAGGTTGGAGACCCCTGTTGTAAACAATCGACCTTTTATGACACAAGGTTTGTCCAGGTTTGTGGAGAAGAAATACAGTCATTAAAACACATAGAGCCCTTGGTCCATGAGGGGCAGACCTCTGTCCATAAATGTGCATAAAGTCCAAACATGTTGTTGAATGTTGAGGGTCCTGGATCATCACCACCTTTTTCATGTTTACTCAAAGAATAAACACAAAAGTTCTACAGGTACATTATCTTTGATTGTTATTTTTATATTTTCTCTTTTTAACGCACTGTAGCTATTTATGTTTATAATCACATGTGTGATTTTAATGTTTTAAGATTTTTAACTACATTTTTTATTCCTTGTGCTCTTATTGTGTTTTTTATGCCCTGTGGGAGTTTGAAAAGTTTGATTGACTGATTGTCAAACAAAACATCCATCCGTTCCTCACATATCTTTCCTTTTCAGGTACTCAACGAGATGACCGACCTCCTCTCCTCGCGCCGCAACTACGACAACTACCGGCAGACTTACCACCGAGTCACCGGCTTCAAAATCCCCATCCTGGGCGTCCACCTCAAAGACCTGATCTCGGTGAACGAGGCCATGTCGGACTACGTGGAGGACGACAAGATCAACGTCCAGAAGCTCCAAGCCCTCTACAACCACATCAACGAGCTCATCCACCTCCAGCAGACCCCCCCCAAGCTGGACGCTAACAAAGACCTTGTGCATCTGCTGACCGTAAGCACACAGGGATGAATCAGACACTGCTGCAGAAAAAAAAAAAAAACAGCTACAAATGCAAATGAGCTTGTTCCAGCGCCCGGCTCCACTGGCGCTGGTGTGGAGGTGTGTTGAGAGTCTATGATCTGTATGTGGGTGACAAACCAACTGCCAATGACTACTCAAAAAACACGGTATTGTTATGCTATCCGTGCATGAGGCGCTTTTGTCGTACACTTCAGAGACAGAATGCCCATGAAACACACAAAAGCGCACACCGGTGACCTCATTTTCCTTTGCTATTATGAAAACAACATTTAGGATTGCAATCAGAAGTGTGTTTTGACATGTTTGGCTGTGTATCTCCGCAGCTGTCGTTGGACCTGTACTACACCGAAGATGAGATTTATGAGCTGTCGTACACGAGAGAGCCCAAGAACTGTAAAGCACCGGTGAGTGAAAGAAGGGAAATGTTACCACCTTGTTTTGTGTGTTTGATTCTATTCATTGCTTATGTAATTGATTGTGCTCCTTGCTCCCTCTGGTTTCTTCTATGCCACTATGCTTTATACCTTTATCTGACATATGTTTTGTGTATGCATTTAAGGTGCGTTATAACATATTGTGAAAATCAATTAAAACGAGCTAAATGTGGATTTGAGGGATTTTCAGTCAATCTTTATTTGTAGAGTTTTTTTACTTACAAAAAGTTTACAGTTCATAAAGATACATCAGAATCACACAGGACATGTTCTGTATAGCAGTACAGTAGTATCACTTTCTGCTAACATGTACAGTAGTGACATCACCTTTAATGTTCACTGCTTGAAGAAAGCAATGTCATTTTTCTCTTTTAGATTTTGTAGGAGCAACAAGAAATATATATTTTAAAAAAATATATATATATTACATTCCTTGTGAGATTACCCAAAGACGTACATTTCACCGCCAAGCTTCAAGTAGATACACTGTGTATTACTGATGTATCTGCAAATATTCAAATATGTATTTCTTGCACTAGAGGATGCAGTATTTTCTACTTAATTCTTTATCAAGATAAAGACAGAGATTTATTTTGAGTTGTGCTATACTTATTGCTCCTCATGCCTACTCTTTAACTTGTGCCGCAACACTGAAATGTTGTTACCATGGAAAGAATAAAGAAACAAAGAATCTCTTAATCTTAAAAAACCCAACCTTAACATCACACTGGGCATTAAAAGCACACCTAATCACAGTGCATTAAAAACTGTGAAGATTACAATCCTTCAGTTGTCTTAAAATCTGGGACAGTCTTCCTGATAATGTGAGACAGGCCTCCTGAGCTGTGCATACTACTAAGGGATTGTATCTCCGCTCTTTTTAATTGCTGTGATTGTCTATGATGGTAATGCCCTGTGCGACTGTCTCTATGTGGTTCTGTTCAGCGCTTTGAGTTGACTCTTGTTTGATTTGTGCAAATATACAAATACTGTCTTCCCTTGCCTTGCCTTGCACAACTAAAAATAAGTGTGTTTTTTCTGTATTTTCTCTAATTGCTTGTGTTGGTGTTGTTGTTGTTGCTGTTGTGGTTCAGCCCGCCACTCCCTCCAGACCTCCCGTGATGGTGGTGGACTGGGCTTCCGGAGCGGCCCCCAAACCAGACCCCAGGACCATCAGCAAGCATGTGCAGAGGATGGTTGACGTAAGCCCTCTAAAACCTCGTTGCATAAGCCTCATTTGTTTGAACAGTTCTCCTGCCTTTTACCGGCTATTAACGGCTTCCCTTCTCGTCCACAGTCTGTGTTTAAAAACTACGATCACGACGAGAACGGCTTCATCTCTCAAGGGGATTTTGAGAAAATTGCTGCGAGCTTTCCATTTTCCTTCTGTGTCATGGACAAAGAGAAGTGAGTGCTCGACAGGTCATGTAGGTAATTTACATGTGCAAGTTGGGGAGGAAGTGAAAAAGGTGGTATTTGCAGCGATGAGCAGCATTAACAGTAGACTTTAACAATGCAGTGAGAGAGTGGAGACTGCGGGTTTAGACTTTGACCTCGTGTTACCGAAACAGGAAACACTGTCAATCATTCAATTTGAAAATGTTTTCTTCTTTCTCAGGGGAGGAATGGTCAATAGGGAGGAGATTACTGCGTATTTCCTGAGAGCCAGTGTCATCTGCTCCAAACTGGGCCTCGGCTTTGTTCACAATTTTCAAGAGACCACGTATATGAAGCCTACATTCTGTGACAATTGCTCAGGATTTGTGAGTAACACATAACTTGAAAGAATACACACCCAGACAGCCATGTCATTCTTTTGCTGATATTTCTGAGATTATGAATGAAAACGCAATGATGTGTTGTTGCAATAGTATACCTGCTTATTGTTAGTGGTTGTGTGAAGCCATTTATTGTCAAAAATATATTCTAGAAGGAGTTAAGACTGACTTCTCAAAGGCGTGAAAGCTCTCGCAGACACCAGAACCTCAGTCAGTGGGGACTGTGTGGTTCCTAATATCAGAATATCTTTTGGTCTGTCCACCTTTTCCTCTAATGGAGCCAGATTGTGGAACACTCTTCCTACTGACTTAAAACTACAAACAGACTGCATACATTCGTGCTCTGAAAGCCTCCTATGGACAAGTGTTAAAAATTAGCATGGCCTTGCTACATCACTGAACTAAACAACAATAACTCTTCTTCTGACATTGATCAGAAGTCTCCATTCCCCTTTAAAAAAAAGCACATTCTTCTCCACTTTGTGTAAAATTCCCAGACTGCCTTGAATTAACTACACATTTGAAATCTCTGCACCGGCTCAATTATGTTCAAATTTAACCTAGTAAAACAATAGGCAAGGCAAGGCAAGGCAAGTTTATTTATATAACACAATTCATACACAAGGCAACTCAAAGTGCTGAACAAAATAAGAAAGCATTAAAATCATAAATAATCACAGAACATTAAAATGAAAGAAAAATATAAAATCCCTCAGTTGTATGCACAGTTAAACAGAACTGTTTTGAACCTGGTTTTAAACATTGTCAGAGAGGAGGCCTGTCTCACATCTTCAGGAAGATTGTTCCAGATTTTAGCAGCATGAATCTGAAAAGCAGCCTCCCCATGTTTAGTCCTGACTCTGGGCACTTACAGGAGTCCAGTCCCTGTGCTCCTCAGAGTCCGGGCTGGTTCATATGGGACTAACATGTCACTAATATATTTTGGTGCGAGGCCATGGAGAGACTTGTAACAAGCAGAGCTGTTTTAAAGTCTATTCTCTGAGCCACAGGAAGCCAGTGCAGAGACCTGAGGACTGACTTCACACAACCACTAACAATGCGTATGAACAATAGGTTACATTATAATTGAAAATCTCCAAAATATGGCTAAAACAACATCTTCCATGGCTGGTTTTGAAGTCGTTTCAAGCACAACTGTAACATGGCGTATATACAGTATATGTCGGTGAGAGAATCTGAACGTGCACATTCTTTTCCTTTCTAGTTGTGGGGCGTCATAAAACAAGGCTACAGATGCAGAGGTGAGTGCTCTCTATCAGCACTTGTCGGTACACTAACCTATATTCTCGTGCTACAGTAGTTCTGCGTTCTGCATGCTCCTATTTCCGCCAAATTATACCAATATGTTTCCATAGCAACATGTTTATTAGCCAGCAGTTATCTGGAACCAGCGTGCTACTCGGCTCTCATCAGCGTTTGAGAAAAATACTTGCGTTTTGTAAGCAGTGGCAGCTCCAGAGAGTTTGCACCGACGGGACAATGGGGGGGGGTCCACGTTACATACTGTATGAAGGGTCAGAGTCATTTCAGTAATACGGACAATTGATGCACAAAGAGAAAATTACCACGGCCTTTCTGTGCATTGCCAACAACTGTGCAGCATATGGGTCAGTATCGTGGCTGTATAAAGTAGGCCATGCATTATTATTTGTCGTCTGTGAGAGTGTGCTTCTTCCTCTGAGATAAGATAAGCTAAGAGATCCTGTATTCGTCCCACAGTGGGGAAATTTCAATATTGCAGTGCATATACCGGACACACAAAATAAGTGAGTGAGTAGTTTGCTGTAAATGCTTCAGAATCAGAATTAGAATCATTGTTATTGCCATGTAAGAAACAGGAAGTCACAGGCAAGGAATTTGCTTTTGCTCGGTCAGAAAAGAGAGGTAAAGAATAGAGTAAGGCAAAAATAAAAATCAGCATCAATACCAGACTTTCAAAAAAAAAATATTTATGTGGCGTGGTTATATAGTTATATACTGTACTTATAGGGGAGGGTATTAAGTAAAAAAAAAAGTCAAGTGACATTGTTCAGTGGACATTCTGAAGTTGCAATATTGCACATTGTACATGATTGCAGTATTTCCTTATTTACAGATGAATGACATTTACAGGCTCAGCAGTTCTCATTATACAGTCTGACAGCAGCAGGAAGGAAAGACCTGCGGAACCTCCAGGACTTTAATCACTCCAGGAATATATTCCCCAGTGTTCAAGATTCAATTTAAGAGATTCTTCAAGAGATTCGTCAAAGATAAATGAAAAATAAGTCTATACTTAATAAAATAGAATAAAAAATATAATGAAAAAGAAATCTCTATCTTTATCATAATGAGTACGAAAACTCTGACTTTAGCATCAAAAAGAATTATAAAATCTCTGCCTAAATTGATATAGACTATCAACACGGTATAGTTTAATATATCATGCATAAATCCCAGAATCCCCGTCGAAAGATAACCTTGTGTGATCATTTAACTAATCTTTGCATCCGAGAAAAACAGATTCACAGAGAAAGTGATGGATAGGGTTAGAAGATGTTAAACCTGGCTTTTTTCTCTCAATTAAAACACATAAAGCCTATATATATTTTTGCAGCTGACTTCCTGGAAACAAGAGAGTGCACTTTCTCAACTCCATTCAAAAATCTTCATTTATCCGTGAGGAACGTAGTTTGCCGACAGAGCGCCAGCAACAGTGAGAATCCACAAAAAACACACACAGAGACAGTGATACAAGAATACGATTTTTAAAAAGTGCAAAAATGCAGGATAATATTTATGAATCAGATCAAACTCAGGAGGGGAGGAGGCTGGAGGCGGCACTCTTAGTCCTGAGCGGGAGGGACCTGCACCTGTGTCCTGATGGAAGCACAGTTATGGCTCTCTGCACGGAGTTTACATGTGCACTAGCCTTGTCATCAATGTAGTGTTTGTTCATTGGGCTTTACATATTTATTATTCAGATGAAGAGTTGAGTTGAGTGTTTATATATTTCAAGTTCAATTTACATCTAAGAATGAATTTTCAAATAGCACCACAGAGATTTTTCTTGCAAATCATTTATTTACATTTACTTATGACATTATGGTATGTTATTCAAACTCGCAAGATGAATCCTAACTATTGTATAACTAATATAATACGATATTTGTGGGGAACAGCGTTGGATCTGACCCTTTCCCTCGGCGGCGGCCATGTTTGTTATACTGTGAATAGTTTTCCATTGCTTTATAGCACAGGTTTCAGTTGACCTCACCTGGCAGACAAACTGCAGAATGTGAAAAGGAGAGGGAAAAGGCAGGTGCCCGGGATGAACGGCATAGACGAGGTGCATTCTGAAAGTTAACCAAAACTTAGTTCAACTTTCTCATTCTGCTGTAAGTAACAATTAATGCTTTAAGTTGCTCAGTAAGAACAAATGCCAAAGAGAAAAGTTTAAGCAGCTGTAACTATAAGGGCAGGCAAATGTGGCAAACAAGTTTAATTTCAATTTTTTTCCCCAATCAAAAAAATACCATTTTAAATCACTTCAAATCAAGTCAATGCAGGCCACTGATTTAATAAAACAATCTCAACATTTTAGTTTTGAATCAACAGAGGCCCAGAGAAGCAGAGGTGAAACCCTGGAAGAAACTGGTCCTTTATCCTGAACTCAATTTTCACTTTTTCACATGATAGATGTTGAAGAATGACAAAAAGATGATAAAAGACATGTTTTGTTGTTGGTTCACAGCACAGAGTCTATAGACAGAATATACAGAGAATATAAAATACAATAGCTCCCTGTCAGTATAGGTTAGCTTCAACCTTCAGACAACCACAATCATGGACTTCTGCAGATTGTTGTAACGACAAGCTCAGTTTTAACATAATTGCACAAAAAGTGTCAGGTATAAGACTACAGGTGTAAATTAGCACTGCTGCTACAACCTGGTACAACGGTAAAAGCTTGGTCTCCTCTCGACTAAGGCTTATTGTACTTTTTTTGTATTGTAAAAAATCATATCAAACCATCATACCATATCATAAAAGATGCATAGAAAAATTACTAAATGATTGAACTCAAGAAATGGTTTGGGTGTCTTCCCAGCAGCACTGTGTCTCAGGCAGACAATCCTCTGTGGCTCTCATGTGTTGCAGACATGTAGCCAGACTTTGCAGCTTAAACAATATGAAAACCACAATTTCCCCCTCCCCCTGTGACTTCTGAGCACCCGAGAAGCGCTTGCCTCAAAGTCAACTTAAAGGTCAACCTGGTGCAGAACAGAACAGAACAGAGTTAGCCACACCGTATACAGTAAGCCTTTCACATGTGTGCACGTACAGCAGGTGTCTCCAACCTTTTTCACCCAGAGAGCTACTTTCCCGGGATGATAAAGGCAGAGAGCTACTGTACTCCTTTAAGCAAACCCTAGGGAAAAAAGATGGTGATATGTTGGTGTGAACAAGCTTTATATTAGGTACAGTCATTATGTAGCATCACTTATTTGTTACTAGTGCACAAAGTAAGTGTACTTACGTTAATAATTAATGATAATGAATAATACAATCAAAATAAGAAGTATGGTAACACTTTGGATTAGCCCTCGCTAATTAAGTGATCATTAGTGTATCCTAACCCCAATCCTAGCTCTAACACTAACGCTAACCCTGACTCTAACCCCAACCCTAGCCCTAAAAGTAACCCTAGCCCTAACACTAACCCCAACCCTAGCCCAAACGCTAACCCTGACCCGAATCCCAACCCTAGCCCTAAAAGTAACCCTAGCCCTAACACTAACCCCAACCCTAGCTCTAACGCTAACCCTACCCTATTGCTAACCCTGACCCTAACCACATATGGGAAAGTTAGTTAAATGTTGTAATGTTGTATAAGGTCATGTAGAATAACAAATATATAAGTAGAATAAGTTCTTAATAAATACCAATTAAGAGATAACTACCCATAAATTATACACAAATTAGCACTTTATTACTGAGGGAAAAAACTGAAGTGTGACCTTAAGTTTATTATTTGATCGGTTCATTTCTAAATCCTTTGACGAGCTCCTGGAAGTGGGTGGCGAGCATATGTAGAGTATACACATAGAGAGTATATCTGTGTTTTTACGATATTAATTATGATTTCTTTTCTTTCTTGTCTCAATAGATTGTGGGATGAATTGCCACAAGCTCTGCAAGGACCAGGTGGCGTTCGAATGCAAGAAAAACACCAAAGTCTCCAGCGCTATTGACAGTCCCACTTTCAGCACTACGTCTGTCACCACGGGGACTTCAGAGGGTGGGTGGGCCCCGTGGGTGGGCCCCGCGGGTTTCCTCGCACAAACACTCACACTCGCACACATACAGTACGCAGCAGCAGCAGTTTGTTCACTCCTCAACACATTTAGAACTCAGAGACATTTGATTTTGGATCTAATGTCTGAATCTAATGTCCATTCTCTCACCAGAACACAATTTCATTATTCATTCTATTCATTTGAAAGAGGAGATGAATAAAACATCAAACTTGGAGAAACTCTGGGAATTAGAATTTTGCTCAAAAGTCCATTTATTTTGGTGATTCAGCTTATATTGCGGAACTAATATAGGACGGACGGTTGGCAAAATTAGATTACTCAAGCTTTTTTGTTATACTGTTGATAATTGGCTCAAACTGGTAAAAAACTTCAAATAAAATGTCTCAGAGTATTTTGTAAATAGACTGTAAGCCACAATTCTCAAAGTTATAACAAACAACGAGTCTATATCAGGCTTTGGATTCACATTTTAAGTGAATCACAATGTATTTATAGTTCATAATAAAAAGCATCTCAAAGTGCTTCACATTGACAACATTTAAAGCCTAGGTAGTGGCCTGTCTCACTATTTTAGAAAGATTGTTCCAAATTTTAGATACATAAATCTGGAATGCCTCCTCCCGATGTTTAGTGAACTAAAGTTTGAACTATAAATGTGTCAGAATTGGCTGATTTACCGGCAGACAAAATATGAGAACGGACAAGTTGGTCAATTAATCACTAGTAACCAAAATAGTCAAATAATATAATAATGTGGCCATGTCATCTCTATGAAGATGTTCCAGAGGCATCACTTGAGCTTAATTGTTTTGGTCAAATGTATAAAATATCCCAGAAGAACTGAGCTTTTGGGATCGGAAGTAATCTGTTCATCGGAAGGAAAAAAAACCCGATAATGGCCCTTTGATAGATGTGTATAAGATTTACCTACAGCGGTCTCATGGAAGATTAACAGCTGTAGCAGGGCGCTTATCCTACACACAAATAACATAAATTACCCCAAATTAACCGACGGTTTTCTTCTGCATGGCCAAGAGAGAAAGGACAATGACTATTAAAGACATTCTTACAGCATTAGAGACGAGCAGCGTTTGAGATTGCTTTTAAATGTGATTTCTAAAGCAGCAGCTGTGTATATGTTCTCATATTTAATATGATTACTATTTCATGTTTGAGAATGTGAAATAAAGTAGAAAATAATTAGTGAAACAATCAAGGGCGTAGGTTTGCGTGGGGACCATGGGGACATGTCCCCACCAATATTTGGTGAGGACTAAAAAGTCCCCACCAAAATGACATGATGTCCCGTGACCCGGACGGTCCGGGACACATGTCTTCCGTTTGTGCATACGTCGCGCCTCCTCCTCGCCTCCAGAGCAACAGCAGCAGCAGCAGCACGTGACCCGTTCCGTTCTCTGCAGTGATTGGCTGTCGTCTTCAGCGCCAAACTGAAGCACTGAGCAACTGTTTAATTTTTAAAAGTTAGCCAGCGTGAAGCAAGTGTTTTTTTTCGTTCCCCGAGCGTTGTAGCACGTGAGTAATCAGAGGAAAGTACTGTAGATCTATTACCATTCAAAGTACTTACGTTATTTCTAATCTGTCAGCGCACTGTTTAATGTTCCGAGGAGCTCACACGGCACAGAGACAGAACAGAACTGGCTCCAATAAAGAAACAGGTTGGTTGAAAGGCTGAAAAAATACTTATTGTGCTCTTACTATCCAAAATGTATAAGTGGGTGTGTTGTGTGAATCAGGATAAACTAGGGATGAAAATATTCCACGGATCCACGATTTACAACCTTTATCTGCTGATAATGTAATTTCTGTGAAATGTGTGACAGCGGGCACTTGCTGTTATTTGCTCTAAGCACATTCATGCGATGCACTCGAATGTGCACGTCCTGGTGCAGCTGCTGCCGCTTTGTAATGACAGCCGCGGCGCTCAGTGAAAGCACAGCTCTAACATGGTACCGAGCTCGGACCATATGCAGACAGAACCATGTTGCAAGTGCGGGTCTCCCTCGTATCTCCCCCGTTTCTCCCCTGTGTCTCTGACATGTCTCTCCCCTGACTCTTCCCAAAGCGCAACCAGCGCTCCCAAAATTAAAGCTCGGATACCTAAATTTTCCATTGCGTTAACGATGCATGCTGGTTGTGCGCAAAACACACCACAACAGGTCATTTAAGTTTTTATTTTGCATACTTGAGAGCCCGGTGAGTCATTACTTGCCTTTTTGGGTTGAGAGTAGAATAAAAAAAAGAAAATATAGAAAAATCCACACTGTTACTTATTGCCAAACTCTTGTTAACTCATTGTATTGAGAAATACTATGTAACTTTTGACATTGGCCAAGTTATATAAATGATTCTGCAGTTCATGTATATGAATGTCTGTTTTTGATTGTCTATACCTTCTTATATAATTTAGAAAAAATGCCACCTCCACAAATAAGATAAAAGATATCAGTAGCTTTTTTAACAGTTGGAAAGTAAGTAAGAGAAAGCACAAGTAATTGCAAATTATGAATTGTGATGATTAATCTTCTGTTAACATACATAACTGCTTCTCATTCAGTCTACAGCTGAGTTTAGTATAGAAGGCAACACACTATTGCAAATATAGTGTGTGATTACACAACAAATTCTGGGGGAGAAACTCTGGACCCCGTGTCAATGGGTGTAGACTCAGGTCGTAGTGAATGTCCCCACCAAGATTGGAACCAAACCTACACCTTTCCAATATCAAGGGCAAATAATGCTGTGAGTGACCATTGCTACCACTAGAGGGAGCAGTCGATTTTTTTGTATTTTTTTTTTTATCACTGGCTGCAAAATGTAGATATTTCATCAATCGATTGAAGATGCTCCACTCGCAAAACATTGGGGTGTGTGTCGTCTCATGATCTCAAAGTCTGACCTTTAGTTACTGATTCTGGTTCTCCCTTTTGACTTACTATGACACATGCTGTAATTAATGGCATGGGATTAGAAAGAGAAAAACTCTCATAAAACATGAGAAATTGCCTCAAAAAAAATGAAAACTCTTACCCACAGATCCAACTAGAGGTCCCCCACACACTTGCACACCATACACTCGTTTTTTAGGATGTCACATTTATTGGACTTTAAAGAAGACATATCATGCAAATCAACTTCATTTCATTTCATTAATTTTCTTATTTCAAAAACTTTTTAGAGCTCTTAACAATGTTACAACAGCGTTCCCTTATCACAAACGTTTTTTTTTTTTTTTTTTTTTTACTTTCAACACTATTATCAAGAACTTCTGGCAAAAACATGTAACTCCTTTCCGTCTAAAAGCTCCAGTCTCAGTCTTGTAATAGTATGATGTCATTGAACCACTATGACATCACACTCAGAGCAGTTTTCTGTCTCTAAGAACAGAATGATGGCCCATAGTTAAGTCAATGACATGGTTGCAGTCGGTAATATTCTAATTGGGAAGCAAACATAGATACATTCAGCTCCTCCCTCTGGTGGTGACACAGGGAATTACAGACGGAAAGCATTGTTTAGCCTTCATACTTGTTTCACTGCCTGAGATATTACTTCACATTCTAAAACAAGCAAAAAAAGTAAAAAGTCTTGTTTTAATTGCCAGACATAATGCATAATATTTCTTTTTTAAACTGTCTGAAATGTAAAACAAAATGATTTTAATGCCTCGTGTGATTGTTTCTATCTTGTTTTGATCAGAACTTTGACTTGTCTTGTGTATGAATTGTGCCATACAAATAAGCTTGCCTTGCCTTACACTTCTCATGTCTTCGCTCTAGGTTCAGAGGACTGTCCGTTCCCGTACCCGGAGGAGATCAAATACTGGAGCCCGTCGTCGCCTATGGCTCCTCCGGTCCGACTCCAGAGGGTGCACAGTGGGACCCAGACCGACCTGACCCCCCTCACCCCCCTCACTCCCCTCACCCCCCTCACTCACCTCACCCCACTCACTCCCCTCACCCCCCTCACCTCTCCAGTGCATGAAGCCGCCCTGCTGCTGCCCTCCACAGCCCCCGCCCTGGGCTCCTGTCCCAGCCCACTGCCCCAGAGGAAACAGAGGCACTGTGCAAAGTGGGAGAACCGCGCATCGATGCACAAGACGACCGACTCCGACGAGGAGAGCAGACCCTCGTATGAAACACTGGAAGGAGTAAGGGGCACTTTTTTATACTACTGCTCTTTAAATATACTTTTCATACTTACTTCATACTTACATCTTCATCCAAACAGACCTGGATTTGTGTTTTGCTCCATACACTCTTTTGTTACTAACTTCTGGTACAGATTTTGTCTCTACTGCTGTGACCTGAAGGGTTGTTGCTTCATTTTACTATTGTTAGCTTTTCAGAAGGATCAATTTTATTTTTTATTTTTGCTGCTACTGGACACCTGTAATTCTGCTACAGGGGATCAATAAAGTATCTATCTATCTATGTATCTATCTATCTAAATATCTATCTATCTATGTATTTATCTATTTAAATACTTTTTTTTGTAATTTTGTACTGTATCACAAATCCTTAAACTATGACCTCATGGTTTTCTGCCTAAAATATCACCTCTGAATTAGTTTTGATGATTTCTTCAGTCAAAGTACATTCTGTGCTGCATACCTGCAATAAGGCCGAAATCTAGATCAAAATCTATCAGGATGTAATTTCCCAACTTTAATGTTGCCCACTCTTGCAGTCGCTTATTCTGTTTTTGTTTTTTTTCATATTTACGGGACAAAATGAACACAGTAAATGCAAGACTTTGTTGTTGCCCCCAGGAGAATCAGCGGCTGAAGAAAGTCAACGAGAGTCTGAGGCGAAAGCTGAAGGAGGCGGAGAGAGAGGTGGACATCCTGAAGACACTGCTGAAGAGACACGCCCTGCACCCGGTGGAAGAGGACTCCTCTTCATAAGCTGTTATACCCGACACACACAAAACAAAAGAGAGACAGGATAGTGGAGGACACACAACATGGGGCTGTGACAGGACAGTGGAGGACACACAACATGAGACAGAGACAGGACAGTGGACACACAACATTGGGCAGAGACAGGACAGTGGAGGACACACAACATGGGGCAGAGACAGGACAGTGGACACACAACATGGGGCAGAGACAGGACAGTGGAGGACACACAACATGGGGCTGAGACAGGACAGTGGAGGACGCACAACATGGGGCTGGACAGGACAATGGAGGACACACAACATGGGGCTGGACAGGACAATGGAGGACACACAACATGGGGCAGAGACAGGACAGTGGAGGACACACAACATGGGGCTGGACAGGACAATGGAGGACACACAACATGGGGCTGGACAGGACAATGGAGGACACACAACATGGGGCTGAGACAGGACAGTGGAGGACACACAACATGGGGCTGGACAGGACAGTGGAGGACACACAACATGGGGCTGGACAGGACAGTGGAGGACACACAACATGGGGCTGGACAGGACAGTGGAGGACACACAACATGGGGCTGGACAGGACAGTGGAGGACACACAACATGGGGCTGAGACAGGACAGTGGAGGACACACAACATGGGGCTGGACAGGACAATGGAGGACACACAACATGGGGCTGAGACAGGACAGTGGAGGACACACAACATGGGGCTGGACAGGACAGTGGAGGACACACAACATGGGGCTGGACAGGACAGTGGAGGACACACAACATGGGGCTGGACAGGACGGTGTGATGAGGCCTACAGAACCAGCAGCCTATCATTCTCTGAAACTGACAAATATAACTAGTTGTAAAGTTACTTGGGCTGTGACGTTTTCTAGTTAAAATGATGGTGCTTTCCCACATGAGGAGGTAGTTGTAACTGTTGAGTGAAAAGGTGACTTTTTTACTTGCCATTGCTTTGATTGTCATATTACCAGGACCTCACTCAGTTTCATTGAAATGTGTCTTATACATAATGGTGTGTGCGCATGCTTTTTCTCTTTTTTTATAAACACTGTGTGTTCACCAGATCTAATGTGTGAGATGTATGCTGTGCAGGACAAATTAAAGTCTGTTTCATATTCAAATTCCATGATGCCATAGTGAATATAAGCCACAAACCACTAAGTGCAATATCCATGGTGTCCTGGGGTCTGCCGCACACACCTGCAGCTGTTCTGATGTTGTGTTAATATCAGGATTATGATCATATTTATTGTGTAAAACACTACGTTATGTCATGTTTTGTATTCTGGTACTTTGGAATATTTATCTATGTCTGTGCCAGAAGTGTCCCTTTTGGGGTTTTTACTCTGTCTTTGTACTGTAATTACAGTGTGATTGTGCTAAGAGTGACGTACTGTGAATGTAAACATGGACTGTACATTGTGTATCGTGCCAGTGTATGGAAGTGCCACCTCTACTAATACTCTTTCTCTCAGTATTATGTATCTTGTAATAAAAGTTGAAATAAATACGTATATTAAATAAAACCACATTGTATCCTGTTACTACCACGTACGGCCAGGAGGTGTCACTGCAGCATTGCACTGGTTGTGTTTTTCGTGTTTGCAGACAGATGTATACTAAGTCTATTGTAAAGGGAGTATTCTAATAAGATTTAAAGCATGTTTGTCTGAACTGTCTACACTGAACACAAACTACAGTAATACAATCAAACATACTGACTAAACCTTGTATCTCCTATGTGTTATAGGACTCTCTCCCCCCTGTGGTGTCCAGGCTCTCTCTCTCTCTCTCTCTCTCTCTCCATGTCTCTGCTGTAATGACTTGTTGCGTGTCTTGTAGTGGGCACAAACCCGTGCAGTGGGCTCTCTGGGGCGTAGCAGCAGCTCAGGGCCAGAGCTGACACTTCATTTGAGACGAATCGTGGCTAATTTTCTTTTTCTGTGAAACATGGCAGGTTGTATCTGCACATTCATTAAGGCGAAGCAATTTTCCATTTCATCTCATGAGAGTAAAAATATGGTCGTCTCCAGATTGTGATTTTTTTTCTGTGGAGCAAGAGCCTCATGAAGGATTGTCTGAAAGCTGGTTCACCTGAGAAGGTGTAGGGCCTCCACCATAATATTGGTTTTCTTGTGTTGTTCTTATAGACAGACAGAAAGACAGACAGACATAGACACAGACAGAGACAGAAATCCAGCAGCAGAAAAATATCTATTCATTCAAACCAAACAAAAAAAATACATAATTCTAAAAGTTATTAAGTATAGTATAGTCTTTTGTAGGCTCTAACAGCAATTATTTCAACCTTGTAACTGAGTAGTTATATCACCATAAATCTATAACTGTTCTTATTTCGCTGATTTGAATACACTGATTCTGTGCATTGTATATACATATACAATGCACATATGTACATACAAGATACAAGACACAAGAATTTACTTGCCATTTGCAGTAAAACCACATTGGAAAAACTGCGCAAGACTACCTCAGTGTGCCCCAGACAGAGAAGTTGGTACACACCAGAGCCCTTGCCACGGCGCCATCTTTACAGCACCATGCGACACACGACGAAGGCGGAAGTAGAGCTATACATATACACATACATACATTCACATATACATTTACACAATTATAGTTAGTATTGAGTTCCACCAAACACTGCTTATATGTTTGAAAATGATGAAAAAGATTAAGAGATTCTTTTTTTTGTCCCACAGCGGGTAAATTTGTTTGTTGCATCAAGATGAAGAACAGTGGGAGTGATGAGTATGATACACAAGAGAGGGTGAATATATTCTACAACCCTATACTTAGAAAACGTGTAGAGTTGTACTATGAGTGATGCAAAGAAGGTGCAGAGCAGGACAGGAGCAGGATTCTTCTCCCCATGGACACACTGGTGCAGGGGAAACAAAAACCAAACCTGCAGAGAGAGTGCTGTGTGGAAGACAAACTGCACAATGGAAAAGATGTGTTCTAAAGAAGCTGAGGAGCAGAGGAAGTCTGAATTACCTCAAGAATTATAATATTTAAATGTGTTCAACTAAGATATAAAAATGTTTAAAGTAGCCCTGTAGTCACACATGACCTATTTCCTCTGGTACCAAGGACAGCCACTGATACTGTATTATGATATTGGTGACCACGATAGCCTGCAGTATCTACTATGGCAAAACTGACATTCCAGGTACTCCTATTAGTGGGACAAATGATCCAATCTTATCAGCGTTTCTAATTACTCACTCCGCTGGGACCAAAGAAGTGCTCCACCCCGTCCACAGGTCACCTTTCCAGGCCACACCATGACCTATAACTCTCCATAGAAGAGCAGGAGATGACAGTTGTGCCTAATTACCGCGGTCAGACACGATTTATCACCCAGACGTACGCACACGGGGGAATGAGGCCATTGTTGAGCTCCCCCATAACTTCTCCGAGTGCACTAAGTTTAATGAACGGTGCTTTCAAACTAATTAGACAGAGATATGGAACATCCCATTATGTCCCACATGTCTGCACAACAGGGGGGCCTGGACACAACACAAAATAACACTGCACATTTACCACAAAGCAGTGCTCTTTCCAGTCTGCCTCCAGGATAGAACCATGCCAGTAATTCCCCTGATTATTAAACTTACTTCATTATGTTCTAATGATGGCCGAAAGGAGCCAAAGTGGGAGACTGTGGAGAGGGATTGTGAACAGGGACAGGGGAGAGATTGGACAGTGTCGGTGAGATAGTGTGAGAAGCCGTGGTGGAAATGTTAATTAATCTGGATGATGTCGGCCCTCAAGTCTGCAGCAGCGTGGCGGGTCTATCGTTTTAGAATAACGACATGTGATAATTACTGATAAGTCAAAGCATGGATGTGTAAACAACAGATGAGCTGCTAGAAGAAAAGGCAGAAAAAAACAGAAACCTCCCATTCCACGCTGGAGCTGCTGGTGGGTGGGTGAGGAGACAAACAAATAGTGTTGGGAACAATTTGGATTTTTTTGCCACACTTGAAAAGACTTATACTGTTCATTTTAGCAACAGAGTGGAGATTGTGCTTTAAGAGCTCAACTATAATCCATTGTCTTAAATAATAGATCCGGTTTGATGAGTGCTTTTATTTCTACTTCTATTGGGACGTAATGACATTGAAATTTCCAAAACTGATGGACGAATGAAGTTTTATCTATCTTCTCTTAAAACATGTTTGAGATAGATGTTTCAAGAAGATTTCAAATTAACTGAGTTCAGGAATTTGTTCTCTCTGTTGATGTCAGAAACTTCAATTGTATTTCACTTCCAAAATGATGCATACAGTACTTGGCTGGATTATCAAACGCACCTGTACATTCACCGCACCAGCTACATTTGGAAAGAACTAAAATGTTGTCCACATATAGGGCGCAGACTTTCATTTTGTAATGTAAAACCGAACAGCTGATGGGGTAAAACAAAACGGTTTTAAATAGTCACAACATGATTTAATGATGAGGTGTTTAAAGCAGCGTTGGTCTCATCATGGACTTGGTAAATAAAACAATGTGCTCTGGAGAGGTACCATGAACTTATGTTAGCATGCCTACCATAGACTGTAAATATTAAAACTTACCTTAGCTGTTAGATGCCGAGCAATTCATTTTTGGAAATACCCCATAGTCCGATACAGCTCTGACTACAGACGCTGCTCCCTCTTCACCACAACAGTCTGATACAGCTCTGACTGCAGACGCTGCTCCCTCTTCACCACAACAGTCTGATACAGCTCTGACTGCAGACGCTGCTCCCTCTTCACCACAACAGTCTGATACAGCTCTGACTGCAGACGCTGCTCCCTCTTCACCACAACAGTCTGATACAGCTCTGACTGCAGACGCTGCTCCCTCTTCACCACAACAGTCTGATACAGCTCTGACTGCAGACGCTGCTCCCTCTTCACCACAACAGTCTGATACAGCTCTGACTGCAGACGCTGCTCCCTCTTC